CTTACCAATCACAACCACCTCGTGGAGAGTTCTAACTTCTAAGTTCTAACCCCATTCTTGGAGACGCATTACTCTCAAGTCTCCTCAACCTCACTAAACAAGTAGATTGAGTTATGGATCATCTAAGCTCACACTGTCACACACTTCCTCCCATAAAAATTGGTTCTCCAGCCAATTACGTCGACCAAATTGAATTTGCGGGCCATAGAATCTTTGGAAAGATAAACTTTGAATAACCTACCATACCCTCATTTGTAACCCATAGCCCCCGCAACAAAAGATTGCTTACACATTTGCATGCTCGACTCAATAATTTCGAAGGTTTAGTGTAAAAGTGAAATACCCTTTATTTAAGATGTTTTTATTAATAAATTAGGCCTTGTTACTTTTTACGTAAGCTTAAAAACAAAATATTGGATGGGACCTGTGCAAATGCACAAGCACGCCCTGGACATTCGTTAGTATGAAATTAAATAAGCTTGCTTAGAAATTATGGGCTTTATTGGTATGTTAGTTGAATAGCAGAATCATGAAACAATCGCTGATACGGAAAAATTTGTTAGTTGAATGAACAAATGTGAATCTTTTATTTGTTCTATTTGTAGAGCTATGTGGAAGCCACTCAATAATCGTATTCCATGCAAAGATAAATGTTAAAGTGTTCTTATTCATAATACTAACAATCTATGTCACTGATTATGCAAAAAGATACAATCTATGTCATTGTTCTATGTGAGGTCCAGCAAGATTTTGAGAAAATATATTCTATGTGAGGCGGGTTTGGCAGGCAGGATTCACCCCGTTTAGCAAATCTCGTTGTTTTCACAGAAATGAGTAAAAATTGTACATATAGCACATATATATCCATCTCGTAGCCAAAACGATAGGAAAATAGTGCGACAACTCATATTAAATAAAAACTGTCTATGATCGTAAATATATAATTATAAAAAAAAAACTTAAGTACATTTTTTTTTTAATTTTAAAAAGTCGTACATAACTAAACTTTCTGGTAGATTAAGTAGTTAAGTTCATTTAACATACTGGAGTGAAAATATTTTTTTTATCAGTTTTAGTTTTAAAAAACTTCTGCTAGAATATACAACCGTCACTAAAATTAAAGTAAAAACGTAAAATGAAAACTACATCTGTTTCCCCTAAAAGAGCTAATTGTTTTACGATGTGTGGTTTGTACGGTCCTCTCGTCCGGTTACACACTCCCAATCCAATCGGGTAACTGATATTGGGTCAAGTATAGTTCTTCTTTAGATCTTTTGTATGGACTCGATAAAAAACTGGACTTAAGCAAAATTGTTTTACAATGTTCCTTATCTCTTTTTTATTTTTTTGGTTTACTGCAAACGATTCTTTTTTTTTTTTTTGCTAAAACTGCAAACGATTCTGCGTTGGTGTAGGTATATTATTTAGGATACGTGAATCAGACTAATAAATATAAGAGGCCGTAGCCCCATGTTTCTGTTTTCTAACTAAAGCATGCATGCATGCATTACATTAAGCTCAGCTTCAATTTAATTTTTTTTTTTTTGAAAATGGAGCTTCAATTTAACTACAGATTGATTTTTATTAGCTATTTGATATAAAATTAACAAAACCAATCGAATTATAAATGGATTAATTCAGTTTGATTTCGATGTAAAATCAACTTGGTTTAATTCGGTTCGATACATCCCATTCTTATTAAGAGAGATGACGAAAAAAGTATTCAGGAAGTTTCTTGAGAAATTTCAAAAAATACCACTTTTCAATTGCTACTTTACAAAAATACCACACTTTTGAAATCTTTACAAAAATGCTATTTTTTCAAAATTATTTTTTCTTTATATTATTTATGTTTGGGTTAACTATGTTCTATTAGGGTTTAGTTATGGAGGTTTAGGGGAGTTGAGGGATCAAAATATTTTTTAGTGTTTAGAATTTTAAGATATAAGATTTAAAAATCTATAATTAATGGTATTTTTGCAAATGAACATTCCTAAATAGCATTTTTGCAAATATGCACATAAAAAATAGCATTTTTGCTATTTTCCCAAGTTTCTTGGACCTCTTGGTAGAGATATGCGTTTAATTTACTGAATCTTTTTTTATGAAACAATTACTACTGAGTCGTTTTCAACTTATTAAGTTTGCGTGTTTTTGTACTTTTTCGTCACAATACAAACATGTATATCTTGTGGCAGAAGAAAATACCCCTACTCTTTTGCAACTTTGACTCCATTCTTTTTTATCTTCCAGGTCACACATAAATATATTTTTTTTTTGATAAAATGTAAATTTAGATACCAAAAGAAACAGTTTGTTACGTAAGCTTTGGCGAAGCTAGTAGTTTTCAAGAGGCCCAAAAAAAAAGGTAAAAAGCCTAATCAAAATTCATTTTAAATTAGTAATTTATTCGTCACACTTGTGTTGACAGTTGACACATCCTTGATATAATACGATCCTAAG